TGCCGGTCACAGGTGCTGGCGAAACGTTAGGAAACAAAACTTCCAGAACATGGCCACACCGCCCGGAAGACCCACACCAGCCAAAGAAAGCTAAAGCTGTTAGAGATTGAATTTGAAGCCTGTTGCAAACAAGGCACATGCTCCTCTTCCCACTAAGCTAAGGCTGCTCTCTTGTATTATGCTTTGACAAACTGGCAAAGAGATAAAGAAAACAAGTTTTACCTGGAGAATCTTGCAGCGTGGGGAGTCACAGCCCATGTCTTCACAAGGGTGGAACATACCCAAAGTGACACAGTTCAGGAGAATTACCAGCATACTGATTCTTTCAAACCAAGTGCAAAGGGGATCAGTCAAGGAAAAGAACCAAGTTCAGAAGATGACTTTAAAATTAAACATATATTCCAGTAGCAAGGCATGGAGATAATATAAAAACTGAAAATTAGAAGAGCCCAGTGATATTTCAAAAGGAACTAAGTATAAGGAATGTATTTTTGTGCATATTTTAGTTAAAGCACTATAGAAAAGAGTAGCTAAAAACATGTTCTCTGTGAATCTGAGGGCCAATGTCTTCCTGTAATGGTACTACTTCTTTGTAACTGACCTTCTCCAGAAAGAAAGTCATACATCTTGCTCCTACTAACCAGTCATACTCATACACACCTCAGTTCATATTGCAGTTTTGTCACTTTAAAAACACACATTGTATCTCTTGCTTCCTGTCTTTGGCCAGCAAATCTTGGGGACTATATGAGGGTTAAATGAAAAATAATGCCTCTACCTCTATAACTTTAAACTAAATTAGAATATTTTAATAAATGAATTAGGAAAATCATCTTTGAAATGAACTTTTTGTTACTTGTATTTACTTCTCCATATATCACCCCCATTTACTATATACTTCTGCCAACATTGGGCAAGTTAAAACTCATGCTGTCATGAAAGACCTCCACACTTTGTCTCTTCAACCAGGTCAAGATTTTCCACCTGTTGTGGACATTTGTTGAGTCAAACAGGTGCCCACAAAAGTATTCCTTCAAGTTTGGGAAAAGATGGCATCACCAAGTCTGGACTATATGGCAGATGGGGTAAAATGATGCCATCCAATTTCACATTTGCCTCTTGGGTGGCTCATGATATGTGAGGCCAAGCATTGTCATGTTGTATCAAAATGTCCTTCTTGTGCTTCTAAACTCTGCTTAACCGTTGTTGCAAACTTTGACTGAGTTGATAGGTTCAAGAAAATCCATGTGAATATCACCATCTGCATCCCCCAAACCATGAGTTTTCCTGTTGAAGACTGAGGTGTTTTTTTTTTTTTCCGGTGGTGAATTTCATGATGATATTCCATGGATATATATACGCTGCCTAGAGTCACTTGTATAGCAAGATGGGCAGTATATATAAATTTGAATGGATGGATGGATGGATGGATGGATGGATAGATGAATGGATAAATAAATAAATAAATAAGTAAGCAAATAAATAAATAAATAAATAAATAAATATTCTGCTTCATTTATGGGTCATAATGATGAGCCCATTTCATTGCCTGTCATGATTCTGTGAAGAAATTTCTCACCTTCATTTTTGTAGTGTGACAACAATTACTGCAAAATTTCAACTCTTAAAACTATTATCTCTGCCCATAGCATGCAAGGAACCCATCATGTACAAACCTTCCGATATCGAACAACAATAATGAAGATCAATAATGTGATCAATAAAGTGAGCCATACATTCCAGTGAAAAGCCAAGCTTGACAGCAATTTCCCTTTGAGTGATCAGCCGATTGTCTTTAATCAGTTCATCAGCCTATCTCATATGAAACTCATTGGTTCTGTCACAGGTCATCCACTTTGTCCTTGATCATAGAAAATCAGCTCTTCCTGGTTTACCGTCTTTACCTATTAACACAGACATCACCATAAACAACCTGCATTCAGTGGTGTATTTCAGTTGGAAGGACACCTTCCAAAAATTGAATCATGGCACACTGTTTAAGTATTCACTGAAGGTTTCCATTTCATGAACAATAGCAACACAGCCTTTTCTCACAGCAACTTCCTGCCAACTGAAGTGAAATAACAGATGCTGAAGGACATGTCAAGGCTTCTAGCATATCAGTAGTGCATCTGTATTATCAGAGGCATTACTCTTCATTCAACCCTTGTAAATGTGTACTAAAGAACCCTCACTCTATTAGCATCTAAGGAGGGGAGAATGACAAAATGTGCCCGTACAGATGTAATAGAGCTGTCATCATCCAGATGTAACTTATGTACATGAATCAAATATTAGGATGCAAGTACATAATCACAACATTTGTATCATGATATCACTGCATGCATGTCATCATCATGGTCTGCTGTAGCCACTTCTACTTCTCTCTTTTGTAATACAGATCATAATAGTTTCAACATACCTAGAGTCTCATATAATTTTTGATAATATAATTTGCTGTACTTCATAACCCTCTGTAAGTTTATTTATATATGAAAAAACTACATGATCAAGTTTATACCAAGAGCTATTGCATTTGTACTGTTTTTCATATAAAACTATGCTCTGTGATTTGGAAACTAGCCTGTTAGTGCAAACCCCTATCACTGTTACAATAGATGGAATTTTACAGCACATCCTGCCTTCCTTGTTTTGAACAATTCCACCAGAAGCGGCTGAATGGATTCTGAAATTATTTAAGTGCTTGAGGTAATGATGAGACAGTGAGAGGCCAGTACTGTGGTTGGTGATGTGTTATGAGGCCCAACACTAAGGAATGTGGGGGCGGGGGGAGAGAAGCACTCCACAGTGAAAGGGGAGCAAAGCATGTTACTCTTCACCTAGGCAAGCTCAGTCACAGACGTTGCCAAAGTTCAAAGAACCTTGAGCTAAAAGAGGCCATAAGGATGTAGAAGTTCACATCCTGACCCAAATACTATGTCCTCTCTAAGCTTGTACAATCACATGTTTCCAGAGGTACTGACCAGATGGAGCACAGGCCGATGCATTAAGTAACATCTGTGTTTGGTGACATTTTTCCCTCTCACAAAACTTTTGCAAGTGTCATAGTACGTTCATTTGGTTTCCACTGTCTCTCTCCTCCACCTATTGCTACCCGGTTCCCATAGTCTGAACCAGAAACAGCGCCACAAGAATACAATCCAGGATGTAAGAGTCAGGACAACTTTGGATGATGGTAAAGGAAAGGTAATTAGCTGTCTTGGAACATGGCTTGTTTTGTGCCTACGGCAGCAACCTAGTTGTAACCACCTCTGAAAATTTTATGAGGAATTCAATCAGAGGCAAATACTTAAGTCTTATCTATCTTTCCAACTATGGACTATTGCTATATGTTAGCACTGATATATAGCGGCACATAATACCAATGGACTAAGAAAAAAAGTTGCACATATGCTTGCCAAGAGGTTTTTGGGTGGGTTTAGCAGGTGGGTGGGTTTAGAGGTTTTAGCAAGACACTACCATGGGTAAGCTAGACTGTGCAGTTTCTGGGTGGGTTGGGGGATTACTTGGGGAGCGAGAGTTGCACAGAACCGAAACAGGTTGGTTATGTCAACCTGTAAGAGTTTCTTAGCTCCAAGGCTGAAAGCGTTGGGCCAAATAGCAAGTCAGCCATGGGAAAGGCAGGAGAAAGAAAGATTGTTTGCTCCATGTTGACAGAGAACTAGCTGCTTCAAATAGCTTCATTCTAGTCTGTAAGAAAGATTCTGATCTAGCTGTGCCATGCTGGCTGTCTGGGCAATTTCTGCTAAGTTTGAGCCTTGGGAATTCTGACACTGGGAGCCTGACACTGACCGTGCTGAGAACCCAGGTTGGCAGGCCACTTCTTTTTTCTAGGCGTCTCTGAGGCAACTGAAATCCTGGACATTGTCGAAGACAAACTGGGTGACTAGGTCTTGGCAACTGCCCAAGGTTGCCATGTGATGATGTCAGGCTTGATGCCAGTTGTGCATATATCAATGGAACAAGGCTGAAGAGCTGGGGATGGGGAGGCTAGGCCAGGGCTGTGTCACCCCATGTCACAAAAATCTCCCTCAAGACACCTGAGGCATTGGGCCTGTCATTTCTGTTGGCTGCACTGAAAACGGACACTCTCAAAACTGAAGGCTTTATGCTCTGGAACTGGAGAGGTATAACTGCGTAAAATGTCCCCATTCTTGGTTTGTAGGATTATTTCTCCCTGTTTTCCTCCTGTTGAAAAGACTCCCATCAAACAGGAGTGAAAGTTGATTTTCATTGTATAGCAACAGACAGTAAAAGTCTGCACAGAGTTCTAAGCAGGTTAATTCTGTCCTCTTCAAACCGTGCTAGATATTTAACACATTCCCTCACTCTTCTGACACATTCCTTCTGTCATCGATCAGGATTGCCCAACTGCTTATGTTGTGAGACTTTATTTTATTAAAGTCTTTGCAGCCCATTGGTGGTAAAGGTGTGAAAGCCAATCCAAACTACATCAGATGAAAGGAACTATACTTTCCCAAGACAATTCTGTTGCTCACTCTGTCTCTCCCCAGACGGCTATATTTGAAATGAATTTCCAAGCTGTAACCTCAGCTAAGAGCTAAGATTCCTGCTCTCAAAATGTGTAAATACTTATCTGAAATAAAAAGCATTAAATACCAGCATCATCACATAAGGTAATAGCAGTCTACATATAAAAACCAACCAATCTTTTAGGGACCAACCTTCAAAATCTATCAGCCTCACAGGTTCCAATTCTAAGCACTTAGAAATGTGCAAAGAATTCCACTAGGACAGACTTCTGTGAATCTTGAATTGCTTATAGTATACTTTCACACACTTATTTTTTGGCTTAGTATTTAACTTGTGTGCGGGCTGCAACACAAGCAGCAATAAAAATGTTCTTTGGAGAGTTGCTGGTTAATTTTCTCTTGGCAAACTTGGTAAAGTTTCCATGGCTTAGGTACCATTACACAACAATGACCCAGGTGCCCACCCCCCCATTAAAAAAAATTGTCCCAAATCTTCCAAGATTGTCACAAAACAAAACAAAACAAAACAAAACTTTACTGTGGATTATTAGTCAGATGGTAGCATTTGAAGAACAGCCTGTTGCTATGCCTGTGGAAGCTTGGGATAGCACTGTGCAATGCAACTGTTTTCAATCTGAATTTCTGGAGATGAATAAAAGGAGATACTCTTCCCTAACGATGCTCTGCAATGAACCTATGAGCTACTGCTAATAGGAATCTCAGCTATCATCCTAAGGATCACAAAAAGGGGCCGTTCCATGAAGGACAATAATTGTGTAGAACACCTCTTTGTCAATTCAGGATCATGACTGCTCTT